TTTTTTTTTTTTTTTTCATTTTGAGAATGACTGGCTGACTGGTTTTCTTTCCCTTAATTTTTATAATTTTCTTTTTATTTCCCGAATTTTTGCTTTATTACCCAAAATCCACCCATGCCAAAGTTGCACGTTGGCATATATTTCTGTTTTTTAAATCAAACACAGCTCCATGCAATTTCTGTAACGCCCAAAAGGCGCGTTTATATTTTTTAAAAGGATATCTGCATTTTTTATTGTAATTATGCTCAACTTCTTGGGTAGTTTTCATATTATTCCCAATCGTAATTTTTCTTATTTCACTTGTTTTTTATGTTGTTTGTAAAAGTGGAGAAAGAGGAGAGAGGGATGAACAAAAGATGGATTTATTGATGAGTCCCATTAAACTTATGTCTTACGATTTATTTGCCTGAGATTTATATTCCACCATTTTAATATGTTTTTTCGGTCTTTAGGTGAAGTTGCATTTCACTGACAATGCATTGAGATCAATTGCTCGGAAAACAATAAGCAAGAACACAGGCGCTCGAGGCCTAAGATCCATATTGGAAAGTGTTTTGATGGATGCTATGTATGAGGTTTGTGATTCGTCTCCTTTTTAGGCTATGTTTGCTGCTTTTTATAGCTTATCAGTAATTTTCGAGTTTATTGCTAATAGCTTATGACTTATAGCTGAAAAGTTATGTTATATGATAAAAGTGTTTTGGTAAAAATTAGCTGATAAGCTAGCTGAAATAAAAATTTCAACGATCTTATTTATAAAGCTACCCAAAGAAGGTTATGAGACAGGCTCGATCCTTTTAAAAACGCTCGTGTACCAAACGAAACTTATTTAAATACCGAAAATTTATAAGCCAACTAAATAAGCTATAAGCTTGCTTATTTGTCTACTAAACATAACCTTCATTTCCATCAATACCAAAGTAAATCTTTAACTAGCACACAACATTTTGTGTTATTTTTTTCTTCAATTTCATTTTTATTTTTTTTTTTAATATAAATCATGCAGGCTCCGGATGTTAGAATAGGTGAAGATATAATAGATGCCGTTGTAGTTGATGAGGAGTCCCTAGGTACCACCAAAGGTCGAGGATGTGGAGCCAAAATACTTTATGGAAAAGGATCATTCGACCGCTATCTCTCGCGGCACGAGTCCAAGGATGTAGAGGTTGTTTTGAATGTATATTTTATATTTACTTAAAGCTTATAGTAGTGCTCGTGTATTATTTTTTTTTTAAAAAATTTTTATCGTTATTGCATTGCAGATGGCTGAAGAAGGTTTCAGAAGAGCGGTTGAGGTCGAGCAGGAGCTTCCTTCAGTTGTTGCATTGTAAACCCTAAATTAAGGTCCCATTGTTTCTACTCGTACAGCATAAACCTGAAAATGTACCATTATTTAGAAAAATGCAGTGTCTTGTATTCTGTAGCCATTCATAAAATGTCAATCATAAAAGCACGTTTGCTACTGATTGTTGTACCATCTTAATTTACCTTTTTTTTTACCATCTTAATTACTTTTTTTTTACCATCTTATTTTGGGAAAAATTCAAAACTAACCTCACAAGTTGAGGGGTGTCATTTTTGGTCCGGCAAGAAAGCGATTATCACAAATAGCCCCACAACTTCTAAAAAGTAATCAAAAATAGGACTTTTGGTGCAGATATGACGTTTTTTTTTACATGCTGGCAGCCTTCATCACACGTGGCATGACAGTAAACCTGTGGGGCTAGCTTTGATTTTTTTTTTCCCTATTTTTTATATTATTAAATAAATCTAAGACAACATTATGAATATATATAATTATGTGTAGTAATTATATATATTTTAATTATGAATAAGGATACAATATACATTAAAATAAAATTAGAAAATATTTTAATATACTTTTATTTTGTAATGTATTATTTAAAATAGGCATTCTTTTAGCTTCTTTTTATTATTAAATTATTATAAAATTATAAAAAAAATACTTTTATTTATCAGATAAGTATAGTTAATATTTTTTATTCATGACATAATTTATTCTATAATTTTATTATTATTTAATGAAATATATAGTAATAAAGTGATAACTATAATTATGTTATGAATAAAACTATTTTGTAATTTTGTAATAATTTAATTTTAAATTTAATTTATTTTTAATAATTACTATTTATTTTATTAAATAATTATAAAATTACAAATAAATATAAATATTTCTTGAATAAAAATGTTAGTTATACTTATGTCATGAATAAAAGTACTTTTGTAATTTTATAAATTATACCATATATTTTTTTTCATTTAGTCGGAAATTGATTTCACAGTATAGACGCTTATGACCTCTCCTTCCAAGTGGGTGACCATCCATCTAACATGTCACTTAGTAAGTTAAATAAAACGGTTTTTATAAATTGGTAATTTATATTTTCATGATTTTGTCTAAGATTTACTTAATAATATATTATAATTAATTAATACATGTATAATAATTTATATAACAAAAGAAGAGCATAAAATATAAAAAATAGAAGAAATTTCAAAATTAGTCCCACAAAAAGTTGGAGAATAAACAGAGGCCCGTCGCCTCCAAACATTCGTCGCCTTCCTCTCACTCTCCGCGCGCGCTAAAATAATCCGTCGCCTTCCCCAGTAGGGCGCGGCGAGTGCACAGTGGTGGCTCTCCTGAGCCTCGTAGCCCGTTTTCGAGAGTAGCACCGCACGGGGGAGGGGGAGCTTTTTTGCCGGGAAGGTGTCGGCCTGCTTTTCGGCGTCCGTCTCTGGTGCCGGGAGTGAGTAGCAGGTGGACGATTCTCCTCTGGTATCTCCATTTCGATGGCCCTCTGGCGCTCTCTTGGAGGGGGTTGCGACCCCAATTTTCGATTTAGGGTTTGGGGTGGAGAAAGAGATCCGGTCAATTTTGTTTTCCTCAGTCTGTTTCAGCGGTCGCCGGCGATTGCAGGTTTGATTTGGAGGTGTGGATGGTGGTGATTGTTGGGATGACGGGCTGAGACTCTCCTCGAGCCTCGGGGCAATCGGCAATTACAGGGTTGGGGCTGAGCGTAGGAGGTGGGGTCGTCGGTGATCGTTGGGTCGAAGATGTGTTCTGGAGGCATGGTTGTCGGCGATTGACGAGCTGAGCGGCTTTGCTTATGGTTCGGAGCCGTCGGTAATCCTCGGGCTCTGGTTGACAGATTGGTTGGGTGTTTTTTTCTCTGGGTGGCAGTGGGGTTGTTCGCGTGGACGAGGGTTGGGCCAACCCGTGGGTCTTCGATGCAGTTAGGCGTTCTCCTGTAGTTTCTAGATCAGGATCTTGGGCTGCGACTCTGCCATTGTTGTGCTCGGTGTGGCTTTCTGCTGTGGGAAGGGCTCTCGTTGTTGTTCGTTTGTCTAGTTTCGTTCTGTTTAGTGTGTGTTTGTTATGTGTTGTCTAGTTTCGTTTGTTTGTCCTTGGTTTTATGTTTCTTCGATGCAGTTAGGCGTTCTCTTGCAGTTTCTGGATCAGGATCTTGGGCTGTGACTCTGCCATTGTTGTGCTCGGTGTGGCTTTCTGCTATGGGAAGGGCTCTCGTTGTTGTTCGTTTGTCTAGTTTCGTTCTGTTTAGTGTGTGTTTGTTATGTGCTGTCTAGTTTCGTTTGTTTGTCCTTGGTTTTGTGTTTTTTGTTTAGGCCTTTGTGTGCCCGAGTGTCACTCTGTGAGCCCGCGTGTCACCTTATTACCCTGTTGGGGTCCGACACTCGGGTATTACCCTCTTGGGGCCCGACACTCGAGTATTACTCTGTTGGGTCTTGTAGTTGTGTTAGTTTGTATTGTGGGTTAGTTTAGTCGTGTGTGTTTTATTCTAGCGTTGCTAGCCAGGATTCTAGGCGGTCTTCTGACTTGTCTTCCCTCTTTTTTGAGTTGTTGGCTGCTGTGTATTCGCACATTTGTGCTTTTTGATTTATAATACTTCTATCGTTGGAAAAAAAACTAGTCCCACGGGTTTTCTGTCATGCCACATGTGATAAAGGCTGCCAGCATGTCAAGAAAAACACCACATCTGCGCTACATGGCTTATTGGGCCTTTCAGACCCGAAATCGCATCAAAAGTCCTACTTTTGAATACATTTTGAAAGTTGTGGGACTATTTGTGATAATCGCTTTCTTGCGGGACAAAAAATGGCACCCCCCCACCCTCAACCTGCGGGACTAGTTTTGAATTTTTCCCTCTTAATTTACTGAAGGGTATTTATGTATGTTTTCATTCCTTCTTTTTCTGTAAAGGAAAAGTTCGACTTTTACCAGATGAGTGTCAGTAGTTGGCTGATGGTTGCCTCACAGCTCATAGGCGTAAATACTGTAAAATTTAAGGGAAAGCATGAATTTAAAAAAACCAACAGTTTTTTGAGATGTCTTTAATAAGTTGTCTTTTATATTACCCTAGAAAATACAAAGAAGCCCCAGGGGCGTGAGGTCCACTGGCACCTGCTGGAGTGATAAAGTCATGTTGAAGGCAGAGGTTGAGGGATCGATCCCTACTACCGTGGGAAGTGGGGATGGGGCACCCTGCTTCTCCTGGGTGGATTAGTCCCACCTCTCTGGGGCATGGATCCCGTAGCCTGTTAGGCCCGTACCCCGAGGGGGGGGCTAGGAGTTCGTGATGAGACCCTCGAATGAATGTGGGGATACCACCCAGTCGACAAGAAAAAAGAGAAAAAAAAGAAAATACAAAGACATTGGCCCCGTTTGTTTTTTTTAGCTTTTTTCATCTATTTTACCTGTTTGACTTTTTTAATCAGCTGAAAGAAGTGTTTGGTAAATAGCTATTACAAATAGCTTTTTGGGATAATCTGCTAATATAAAAAACACTGCTTAGAGCAGCGTTTAGATTTAGCTTTTCATTATGTAAAAATTAAAAAGTCTCCATTACCCTTATTAATGTTAGAGTCGTCATTAATTTGGGGTTTACGAAGTACTTTGGAATAACTATTGCATGATTAATAAGGACTCCTTATTACGTTTACTAATTAATAAAAAAATGCGAAAATAATTTTATAACTAATTAACTAATATGACTTCTTTTCATTTTATTATTATTTGTATTTTTTATCATATTTAAATCATTTTAATAAATATTTTTATCATATTTAAATCACTTTAATAAATATATTATTCCCATTTCCTAAATAATCATAAGTTCAACATAAATTAGAATGATAAAGTATGTTGATGTCCTTATAAGTGATTTTACGTGTTAACAGCTAATTAAAAAAACTAATTTTTCCAAACACTTTTATACAAAACCGCTAACACGATCAGCTGGTCAAAGTAACTAATTCAATCTGCTGGTCAAAACAACTAATACAATCAACTAACAGCTAACAGCTGATTACCAAACAAAGTCAAACTCCGTTTGGTATGACGAGCTTATTTGGTAAGCTTCTTTTGGTAATTTTTCAAATGAGCTTGTTGAAAATTTTATTTCAGCTAGCTTATCAGCTAATTTTACCAAACACTTTTATCAAATAAGCTAGTTGTTTAGCTAAATCAGCTAATTTTACCAAACACTTTTATCAAATAAGCTAGTTGTTTAGCTATAAGTCATATGCTATAAGCTATAAGCTCAAAAATTTACTTATAACTACAAAAGAGTTGAAGCTTGCGGACGGGGCAAGAAGCAACTTACTATATGCGAAAGTTAGAAGATAGAAGAAAATAGAATAATTGAAGTCAAATAAGGAAAGCAGCAGACTAAAGAAACTTACCTTATGAAGCAGCATATATGAGAATTGAACACAGTGATTTGTGACTCACTTGAGTGGATATTATTTTTGAGTTTATTGAATAGTCAAATTAGTGAGCTTGTTCTCTGATTCGAACGTGGTTCTATTTTCTTGAACATTCATGGTGTTTGAGACAAACAATATTATACATCAGTTACACAATTGCCGCATATTCATCATACAATATTTTCGTACTTTAATTTTTTTTCACTTCAAAAAGTGCAAAAGTTATGGGAATGGACCGCGTATAGGGCGTGCTTCGTTTATGAAATAATTCATTCAAAATGAGTTAATTTAGTTAACTTGAGTTAATTTTGAAAAATGTGGTATGGTTAGTTGTTAATGTAATTTTAAGAATGTAAAATAATATTTAAAATATAAAGATTAAAATTTTATTTGATGTAAAAGTAGGAGATAAAAAGGTTGAAAATGATAGGTAGTTAAAATCATGCGAATAGATAAATAATTAATTAAAGTTAATGTGATGTGTAAGAATGATCGGTTTGTATTATTTAATTATATGAATAATATTAAGAATGGTTAAGTTAAGTTGAGTTAGATTTTGAGTATAAATTAAATGCGAGTAAATTGTTTTATAAACAAACATGCCCATAACTATTGCACTTGCACAATTGTCACATGTTAATCACACAACGAGAGCATATAATCTAACCAAATAAGC